TGTGTCTATATGTCTGTGTATAAGTGCCATGGAGAATGTATGGAGGTTAAAGGACAACTTGCAGGAGTCCATGCTCTCCTTTCATCATGTAGATCCCAGGGACTGAACTCAGGTCCTTAGCTTGGTGGCGGGTAGGCACCTTTAACCTACTCAGCCATCATGCTGTCCCAGGGATAAGTTTTTCTGGAGGCAATGTCTCTTTATCTAGGTTAGGATAACCTCAAAATCACCAGCCTCCTGACTCCCCACATGCTGTGATTACAAGTGTGTTTCACCATGCTTGACTTTGTACAGATTTCTTAAAAAATAATCCATCTGATTGTGTTTTTTTATTATTCCAAAGAGAGGCAATTTTTAACACATTTTTCCAGAAAAAAACTTGAAGCAGGTTACATAAATATATATATACACTGAAGTTTAAGGGTGGAAAAGTAGGGATAAGAAATCAAAGAGCAAAGGATTTGCCAATATGGGGTCAACTTTGGTGGAATAATGAAGGTTTCCATTCTGTTTTTTTTTTTTTTTAATAATCCTAATGAGTTTATTGGGCTTGCTAAAAGAACATATAGTTGTACTGGAAAGTCCACACTCAAATATATATCCTGTGACAAATATATATCCTTGCTAAAAGAACATACAGTTGTACTGGAAAGTACACACTCAAATATATATCCTGTGACTTCCCAACAGCTGCACAAAATGGTGAGAGAGGTGCCTCATGGTGTTTTCAGCTTATATATCCTTAGCCCCTCCCCCACATGCAGCTAAGGTCGACTGATTGGGGGGAAGGGGTAAGTGACTCCTCCATCGACTCCTTGACCTTGATGAGCGTGGGAAGGGGGTGTAAGTAGAGCTTGCCAGCACAGTGATCAGAGGACACTTCAGTTAACACTCCACCCCTTCCTCTGGCTCTTACATTCTTTCTGCCAACCTCTTCCACAAAAGTTTCTGAGTCTTGGAGGGGGTGATAGGTATGGAATGATCTTCTCATTGTGGCAAGGCACTGAACTTTCAAGTCTCTGCATCATCTGTTTTTCATGGGCTATTGGCCCATTTCAATGGGTTTCCATCTACTATAAAAACACACACAGCAAGAAGCAAGACCATTTAAACAGTGGCTGCTATAATAGCCTATGGGCATAAACACAAATGCTTGGACAGTGGTGCATCATGTTCATCTAACAAAACAATTGCAGCAGTGAGTTCCCTACTGGGGCCTATATCCTCCCCTGCCACAGGGGCTTGGCCTAGTCTACAGTACCAGATGTGTGTTCCACTTCTAGGAGGGGGCATTATATCCAATTGAAAATTTGCTGGTTGTACATACACAAGATGTACCACTATTGCACCAGCTGGAACATCTTGTTTGGCATGTTGATAGTGCAGCATGCAGGGTTTCCATTGTTGAGATGAATTATAGGGGATAGTTCTCCCCCAGTCATCTGCATGTCGCCTTCTGGCACTATGAAAGCACCCATCCAGTGGCAGGGAGTTTCCAGCTTAGGCCAAACTTGATTTCTCCCTCTCCCAAGCTCACATCATGTGGTGTTTTCAGAAATAGGGTTTTACCGTCCACTTTTGGCGTACAACCAACATTAATGGCAGTGCCCTTTATTGTTTTGGGGACCTTTAGGGCCACTCTGGCCAACAGCTCCTGGGGGGCAACCCACCTTGGGTACTGGGATTTTCATCTAACAACCATATGACTTCTGGTAGTGCTTTCTTCCATCCTCTTAGGGTTCCTTCTGTGCTTAAGGCTTTTTTTTTCTTTTTCTTTTTTCTTTTTTACTGTGTATCAGGAGAATTTTTTCCCCTTTATTCCCATAGTTCTTTGTATAGCCTCCCTTCCCTCCTTCCCCTTTAACTACCCCCTTTTTGCATATTTTTCCCTTAATAACACCTTTCTCCCACTATTCTTCTCTCTCGGGTTCCTTCTTTCCCTTTACCTCCCTGGTTCTTGTCAATATTCCTGGTTCCTGCAGTTACATCAGGATATGCACTCACTTATAGGGATTTGGTGCTAAGATCCGCAAATGAGGGAGAAAATGCATCTTTTGTTGTATAGATAATTTTAAAGCCTCTTAATACTAACAGTATGGATTTCCATTAAACAGAAATTTGGTGAATGTAATTATAGAATCTTAATCAGCATACCTACACCAAGAATATTGAAATATTAGAATAAGACCATTAGAAATACTATGACTACAAAGAAGGGTAGATGACATTGCTGTTACTTTATGAATAACCCAAGATTTTCTTTTACAGTGACTATCATCTATAAATACATTTAACTCAGATCAACACTGCTCAATTCCCCTCCACCCTCAGTCTTCCAGAGTTCTGGGATTACAGGTGTGCACCATCATGCCTGGCTATTTTACATCATCATTATTTTTTAAATTTATTTTTATTTAATAACCACATGATTCGAAGAAGCATTTTATTACAGCTTTAACATATTCAGTAACAATTTCCAGAGCAAGGATACATCTCTTTCAAAAGTGGCTGTGAATTTTTAGGTTCTTATTTTTAACTTTCCTGTTCAGACCTTTCCTCTCATCCTTCTTTCTTCACTAACTGTACAAGATACAAATACTGGTCAGGCAAGCCATGACTACATTTTAAATTTCAGATCGGTTGTCTGACAAATTTCCATGTATCCACGCAAGAAGTTTGCAAAGGTATTTCACTTCCTAAGGCCAGAATAGGTTATTTGATATGGCAACCTACCAGTCCCATGTACCACCTTTTCCTATCATCAGCTTCTCTCTGAACTCTCACAAGCACATTCCTTATGTGGCAGAGGGGAGAGTCTTGGTCTAGCCTCTAGTCCAAATTATTATTATTTTATTATTATTATTATTGCTCATTTATTCATCCATTCAACAAATCATGTATTGGTAGTGTCTTTGTGTCAGGTCCTGTAGTTCAGAGATGAATCAGAAACGTAGTCCTTAGGAGGTTGGAGTGATGGCTCAGTGGTAAAGCACACTTAATTGCTCTTGCTGAAGACCCAGGTTTGGTTCCCAGAACCCACATGGTGGCTAACAATCGCCCACAGTTCCAGTCCCAGGGGAATCTGACTCCGTCTTCTGTCCTCGGTGGGCATTGTAAGCATGTGCTACACTTACATGCAAGCAAAATACTCATACATATAATAAATATTTTTAAAAAAACATCCAGCCACTCTTCCTAGCCAACTAGTCCAGCCTTGAAAGACAAAAGAAAAATGAGGAAGAACCCAATAGAGGGATGCTTTTGGAAACCCTTGTCAAGAAACTGCAATGGACGCTCATACGAACATTTGAAAATTGCCCTGTTCTGACTTTTTTCTAGTTCCCTGTCTAGAACTCGTAACGCTAATTACTCTTGCCTTTACTTCTACACATCTCCCATTCATGATTCGAGGACTTTCTTCTCCCCTTAGAGACAAAAGTTATGCAATTTGGGAGTCTTTTAGATAGACCCACTGAAGGGGTACTCTAATTGCCTCACCCTGCGTCCCTGTTCAACATGGGTAAAAAGACCCCAAAGAAATGTAGCCAGTTTCTTGGCTAAAAGTCAAAATGTCCTTGGGCCTGTTAGCAACATACTCTGTTCCAAAAGCCAAAAAATGTCAGAAGTATTTGGGAGCTTGTATCTACTCCTTAAGAGATTTTAGGGTTACCTCTTCAGAGTGGGGAATGTTGGAGGGGGGGGGAGTGGGCATAGATTTGATAAAAAAAACCATGCATGTATGAAATTTCATGCATGTATGAAATTCTCAACAAAGTTTTTGTAAAAATTAAAAAAAAAACATAGCCCTTGTTCTCATAAAACTCAAAATCTAGATAGATAATCAAGAATGAGTATGTTCCCAATCATAAGACCTATCATTGACGGGTTGCTCATTGAGATGTACAGACTCATTCAATTCATCCAGTAACGATATAAAGACTATTACTGCTTCCCTACAACAGGAAAAGATAATACCTAGGTCCTGTGCCCAGATCAGTAGATTCCTGCCTGATCAACTGAAGGCAAGCCCTGTGCTGCCCCTAGCACAGTATAATAAAGTTTAAGGTCCAACACAGACAGCATGGTCTAGCCCAGTTGCTTCTGGATTTGTGGTTTCCAGATATGCACCAGAAGGCATTTATCAAAACTGCGGAAGGCACAGGTGTCCCCCCCCCCCCCCCCCCGCCTCTTTGTCCTCCTCCTTTCTCCTCTTCATTACTTTCCTCATTTGCCAAGCCTGTATCACCCTCAGGGAGTTTCTGAGTCATTGCCCCTTTCCCGCCCTAAAGACCTTGGCTCTGAACAATCCCCTCCCTGCTAGCAGGAAGTAAAAGAAGGGTAATTGTCTTTGCAAACCAGGTGAGAGCTTTTTCTGGCAAGGTGAGAAACTCCTCTCCATTTCCAGGATTTGAAGGGGTAGGAAGTAGAACAAGTTTCCTCAGGCTGTGCTCCTAGCGTCCCTGACATCTGATGGCCCTGGTGGTCACCCGTTGAGAGGTGCCATCCCAGTAACCCCGGGATGTGAGGGCAGCAGTGATCCAGGACGACAGACTACCAGGATCGGAGGGGAAAGGCTCTGCTTACAGGGGCGGGACCTCGAGATCCTAGGAGTGGAGAGCGGGCCCTTTGGTCTCTGACGCCAGCCTTTGTGACGGGAGAAAGGGAAAAGGTCTCCAACCTGCGTGGGGCATGTGGTGAGGGGAACAGGTGTGTGTAGAGGGGTGCAGACATGTACGTACGTGGGGAGGCGCTTGTGTGTGTGAAGCGGTTCATGGAGGATACGCACGTGCATGCTTTATTCGACAGGGGAGGCGGGGATGTGCACGTGGTGACTTAGGTGCTCGTGGGCACAGAGGGCTGTTGGGGGAATTAGTGTGAGGCTTGTGTGGGCGTGTCCAACTGTAGAGCTACGTGAGGCGATCTGCGCATGCTGAGTGTGCGCGCGCGCGCCTGCGTGCGTGCGTGCATGTTATGGATTTCCGAGTGCTTCCTGGGGAGGGGCGAAAGTCGTTACTGGCCAACTGACACTGGGAAGTACCGGTTGACGCGGCGCCTGTACAATTGAGTAAAGCCGGCAGCCAAGCCCTTGCTGGCAACTTGAAAGGTCTGAAGTCACGATTCTTACTCATTTTCTCCCTCTTTTCTTTTCTTTTTTCTTTTCTTTTTTCCCCTGAGGTGGGCAGAGGGGTGGACATGGACGCATTGCAAATCTGAAGAAATTATTCACTATCCCTCTCCAGGCACCTACATTTTGCTTGTAAGCATAGAGTTCATAGGCCCACAAATGGCTCTTTCTAGAGCCCAGGTTGTGACTTGAACATGGGAAGGACAGACCCATATAAATTACTATTTGCCACTGTATCTTTTGGTTCTGTGAGAGAATAAATGGACCTGTTGACCCAGCTATTGTCTAATGTTTACTGGGGCCTGTCCTTAGATTAGTACGGCTTTGAGGATAGGTTTGCTTTTTCTGTTGAGACAGGATTTCCTCAGAAAGGAGTATGAAAAAGAATCACTGATCACCCTCACCTCCTCAGTAAGATTACAGGAGGGTGCCTCAGAACTTCAAGTATAGGATTACACTGCACATAGTACTTCAATGCAGTGTCCCACACCCCCCTCCCCCAAGACTGTCTTTGCAGCTTACTGGTCAGCTGCTTGCCAAGTAAGGTTGTAACACAGATTTGCAGTGCTAGGCATATAGGTAATGTACGAAGTAGGAATCTAAGGTTGAAACTGTTTGGTAAGTGACTAGAAGGAGACCAGCAGACTTGGGGTCAGCATCTTTATCATACAGTGTGTGAACTTAAGCAGTTTCCTTAATGTTCTTATGCCTCATTTTCCTCACTTAAAACTGAATAGTAAGCTCACAGAGTAGTTAGAAGTGTAAATAAGACTATAATAAATTCTTAGCACGTGGGACGTGGTTAATACATAGCACCACATCTAGAAATATGTTTGAATGCATAATTGATTGCTTAGTATCCTAGAAGAATTGATTCCAGGAATTCTCATATATACAAAAGTTCTTGGATAAGATACAGAGATTCTTAGATGTCCAACCCCTTAAATCAGGTCTTATACCCAGGTATATAGATATATAAATGGGTATACAATTCAAAAGTATATAGATAATAAATAATAAAGAAATTTATTCTAAAACAATTCTTTGGTGTACATAAAATTTTACCATTTATTAAAGACAAAAGCAAATTTGCAAGCTAGTAAAATGGATGTGCTTATTTATTTTTACATACAGAACTAAATCTTGCTGAATACTTTATATTGTATGATATAGAACATTGTCCACATTTTTCAGTTATGATTGATGTTTTGATTTTACAGTTGTCAATTCTGAGAACTCTGCATTGTATAAGTACATTGTGCAAAATAACAAAAATATATTTAGAAACATTTTAGAAAGTCTTAGAAATTCTGTCCTAATCCCTAGCTAAAATTAATTTATGCTGTTTTAAAAAATTTTTATTGAGCTTTTGATCATTCCATACAACAGATTTTAATCAAATTTAGACCCCCCTCCTCATCCTTGCTCTCCACCCCCACCAGACCTTATATATTCCACCATACATGTTAAGTTCTATCATTTTATGCTGTTTTGAAAGTGAAGTCAGCAAGTCAAACACCAAGTTTAAAATCCAACATTCTTACACAATCCAGTCCAAAGATATACTAATTTGACACATGTGGAGAAGGATAGTGGGAGAATATTAAATGTTTTTGCTTTCTTTAATTAAACCATCGTGTTCTACAGGAGCAGAAAGCTTTGTATGGACAGTAAAAACACTACAATTCAGAATGTGCCGTTGTTTCCTATCTGTGTGGAGGAGTTTTCAGGCAGTGTTTGTTGGCATGCCTTTGTTGCAAGGCATGACAGCAAGCATGCTCAGTGCAAAGTGCATATGTTGTGTGTTTAGAATGAAAGCTACAGTGAAGTTGCATGATAGAACCTGGGAAAGCATTTCTAGAAATACCTTGAATTCATTAAGCATTTAATTTTGAATT